GGTGGGTGGGTGGGCGCGAGCGGCGTCGCGGGTGGGCGGCCCCGGCACGGGCTGGCGGGGGCTGCTCTGCGCTGATCCTTAGGCAAATCCTACATTTATCGGCTGTGCGCTTATGTAAGCGGCGCGGTTACATAAGCAGAATATAAAAATACGGAGGAAAGCACCGTAAGTACCTAACTGTGTGCTAACGAGTTATAAGCACATGGTTATTAATGAGTTCAGAGTCCAAATGAGACAGTGCAGAAAGCTAAGAACCTGCTGCAGGTTCACATAGGAGTCCAATTAGGTTTCATGTGAAAATATCTGTATCTGTAACAAATATCTGCCCAATACATTAGAAAATGGATTAAGGAATTGCTCTCTGCTGACCTACTGTGTTTCCCTTTGGTTTGTCCTCAGTTCATATGGATGGCTGGAAACACCTGCTAGCTCTGGGTTTGCCAATGTGCACATCGTGATGTGCAGCACACGCTGCGGTGGCGCAAGCTTTGGACACCCCGCCCAAAGACTTACAAAAATGCTGCTCAGTAGTGGATCATGATAACATAAAAAGCCGAACGTAATCAAAAACCTGTTTCTAAAATTTGGTACAAAAAAATGTAGTATGTATGTGTTGCTGAAACTGATTGCCAATGTATTTTTCATTATAGCAAAAAAATACGATTTTATGGAACTGTCCAAAGTAGGACAGATCAAAGGCACGGTTTATAATCTTCTTAAAAAGTACCCAAACTGTCTCAGAGATCAGAGAATTCTGCTGTAGAAACAAACCCAACTGAATAGAGCCACAAGTCAAGAGGAGGGGTCACAAATCAGGCTAAGGTCTGTTTTTTCAGGTCATGGGTGGGCTGGGCTGCCACAGTGGGTGGGAGTGACGGGTGGTGTGACACTGCTGGGCAAGGGACAGACCCACGGCTCTGCGCGACGCGCTGCCCTCCGGCGCGGCCTCCGCTGGCCTCGCCGTGCGGTGCTTGACACGGAGGCCCTGCCAGCGCCGGCCTTGGGAAGCAGCACAGGGCGACCGTGGGCTTCAAGATTAGATAGGGAGAGGGGGTGACCGGCCGCGGCCTGGATTCAGACCTGTGTTAAAGTGTCTGCTGGAAAACCACAAGCAGCTGTTGCAACAGATGGTGTCTAAACAACAACAAGAGCGGCTGCTTGGGAACTTGCTGCCCTTGCAGGAGCAGTAGCAGCAGCAGCAGGACTCAGCGGACACGGTCTGGCTTCCTGGCAGCCTCCAGGCTCTCGCTGGTGTCCTCTGTGGAGGAACCAGCTTGCCCCAAGCCTCTCAGTGGTGTTGCATAAATTGGGTCTTCCTGTCTGGAGGGAAAGGGCTGCAGTGACTGTTGAGCTTCTGGAGATCATAGTTCATGTCATTCCCAAGTGCCAGCAACACAACATTTGTGGCTGCACTAATAAAACTAATTACAAATGATCTGTTTCTTTTCTTTATTTCGAGGGCTGTCTCATCACAGGACAGAATGGTCTCTGAGGACAGATTTGGCTTTCATAAAGATGACTCTATACATCTTACATTGGGTTAATTATTCTGTTCCCAAGCCAGCAGTGGAGAAGTGTACTGGGAGCCTTACAATTTAAAGCACTTATGACCTCAAAATAGTCTCTTATTCATACATGGATCACCAAGGTTAGCATTACATGACTATTATGTGGTAGACAAGGGGAAGCCAGGGACATTTAGAGGGCACAGAGAGGAGCCCACATAAGACAGGGTAGGAAGATGCCTCGGTGCATTTCTCTAAATCTGAGAGTTTATTTTTAGAAGGGCATAGTCAGCATATACCACAGCTTCTTCTAGCACTCATAGAATATTTTGCAGACTAAAGTCTGAAAACACAGATGAAGGCACTAATGAGGTAAATAATGAAAGACGGTAGTCTGTGCTGGCTGAAAGTTCAAAGAAAAAGATGAAAAAAAAAGTTTTTTTTTTATTCCCCTGTATTATATTTCTATTTTATTCATATCTTAACTCTTTTCACAACATATCATTTTGTCTGAAATATCAAAAGCCCTGTAAGATATTCAGAATTTCTTCAGTGATCCCCAGTGGAATTATGCCTTTTAGCTGATTTCATCATTCGCACTCCAATGTGCTTATCCTGCTAGAGAGGAGGTCCTCCTTAGCCCTCCTGCTGTCTGCCACCTTTCTGAGCGAGTAAACAAATGATCTGAGTCTGCAAGTGTCACTTGTTAACAAGGGACCCTGATGCAAGGTGCTTTGGGAGATGCACCTGGGGTCTCTCCTCATTCAGCCCCCTCACAGGGGCAAACACCCATCTTAGGAGCTCTTGCTTGAGGTAATTCTTACTGCCCAGCTCCATTTCTTGCTCTTTTTCCATTTCTTTTTATGTACTTTCACACTCAGACTGAATTTTATTGAACCCTTTGTTAATAAGAAATCTTATTGAAGCGAAGACATTTAGGCCTGTTCGCTCTGATTGTTTAAATTTATTTATTTCATCCTTCTTTGCTTAAAAAACTTTTCAGTAAATCTGATTCTATGCTAGCAACCGTCAGTGGAACTACACTGACTCTGTGAGAGGGGGCAGAATTTGGCACTATTTTAAAAGGGTAGATGTTAAAGAAAGAGAAGCTTTAGCCTCATCTAACTTCATCTCATGTAGCTTATGCTTGCAGTTTCCCTGGGAGAACATCTAAGCTGTTATTCAGTTGTAAAAACATGGTCCTTTCTTTCTACATGATCTTTTATACTTTCTCAAGTCTGTATCAATCCTTTGAAAATAATGTCTCAATGGGTAACTTTCTACTGCAGTGATTACCATCTTTCATAATAATTGAGTGTGCCTAACACTTTGATCTAAAATCGAAGAGATTAACTTGCCTTTAGACATTCAACCCCCTATTCTTTTCAGACTGGATCAACAGGAATTCTTGCATCATTTTCTCCTTCTTGTGTAACTAATTAGAGCCAGTTACACTAATAAACACACGTCCTTAATAGATAAAGAAATGAATATGAAAGTGATGATTGTATTTTAAAACCTCACTTACACTTTAAGGTTAGGTGACCTAGATATGGTAGATATAGTAAAGGGAATGAGTGATATAATCATGGTTGTATAAAAACTTTAACCTGACTTTTACCTTCTTCTAAGCTTCTTCCCTCTTTATGTTCAAGTTTGTGTTGCTTATATTTTAGAAAGCTGCAATAAAATAAATCTGAAATAATCTGAAAGAGGCTTAACATGGCTGGTTTCATATTTTAATAACACTTCTCAAAATGTTTGGTGTTTTTTTTTCTTGTTTAAGTTCTTGTTTTTGAAAGATTTGGGATAAAAGGTGTTTTTTTCTGAAAAGCAGCAAATCTGAATATAGGTACTGCAGTGAAAGCAGCTTCACTGTGATGATGAATAGCGCACAGGGAGCTGCCTGTTGCACGTGTGTTCTCCGTGGCCAGATCCACCCCGGCCAGAAGCGGCAGGCGCTCGCAGCTAGAGCAAAGTGCAGCGCGGCCTCCGCGGGGCAGCAGGACCGAACCTCCGCTTGCGAAGTGCACAGCTAGGGAAAACGTGGTCTGTGTGCGCACGGCTAGCTGAAACGCTCAGTGAGGGTGTTTTCCAGAGCACAAACTGATACTCGTGGTCTGAGAGCCGAAAGGAGAGACCCTTGATACGGCCAAGGCAAAGACTGCTGTTCTTGAATTTTCATGTTGTTAAACTGATGGTAACTTTGCACATTTGGATTCTAGCCACACGGAGCAGGCCTGGCAGAGGAGGTGGCGGTGCTCCGGCAAGGCTAGGGAAGGACTTGGAGCTGGGAGAAGGGAGGACGCTGGGACAGGGAGATGGAGCAACATGGGGATGATCCAGGCAGAAGGCAGTGAGCGGACAGGGTCGGAGCATGAAGCCTGAGGCTGGGAACGTTGGAGCCACGACGCCTCCTCTTAGCCTCCCTCTTCTTTGCTGCTTTGGGGGTCCCCGCTAAACCTGCCAGCTGAGGCCTGTGGCTGGCAGCGCCTCGCAGCCCTGGGGACGCCACGCGGGGCCCTGTGCTCAGGAGCAGCTCGCCCCGTCGGGGCGGGAGGAGAGGAGAGGAATAAGGAAGGAGAGCTGGTTAGGCAATGGCACGGCTGGGGCTTTAAGGCTTTGTGAGCCAACATGGAGAGTATGTGAAACCTCACAGGGCTGCAAACCTGCCGCCTATTAGCTGCACTTCTGTCCTGCTGCTGCGTGCCCTGCCTGTGCCCTCAAATGCTCCTTCTCTGCTGCAGGGTGGGGACTCCCATGGCACGTGAAATCCTGCCTCTGCCCTTGCCTCACGTCCATCTTTGCACAAGGGCTGCAGCAGCTCTGCTGTGCCCGACGTGGCAGGAACGGAGATAGATTTTCAATGGAAATGGGGAAAAGAGTAACAAAAACATCAGCCAGAAAGTCGCGCGTCATGTGCCACAGCATGTGGTTTACTTGATGTAGTTTCATGTTAATTATTCATAATAATTCATTATTTCCCTGAGTATGTTGGTTAGTGATATGTTATTGTGACAACAGTTAACAAACAACTCCCAGGCTTGCATACAACCAGACCTAGTCCATTACAATGAAAAATGTCCAACATTTCCTTTTTATATTGTAATTATTATATACTAGCGTACCATTTCCAGAATTAATCCTCCACCAATTTCTGCTTCTTGCTGCTTCTCTTCTTTCTCTCTCCTCCTTCCCCTTTCTCTCTCCTTAAGCCCACAGTACCAACATGAATGGCCATTCACTAACTGTGCACAATTGCAATGTGTTATAAATAGCACAGATTCGGGAGTACAATTCATTATGAAAAGTATCTTTAGAGCTGACCTTTGAAACACTAGCTATATCTTTCTCGTTTTCCCCTTTCACAGCATGCTCGGGATCATGTTGCTCTTAGTTTGGTGCAGTTTATTAATTACAAAAGAGCATAGAAGCTGTGCAGTAAGCAGAGGATCTAAACAATAAGGTGGATAATGAAAAAGGATTAATGAGGTGGATTAAAATAAAGGGATTGAGGCCAAATGGAGCACAATTTTTCTAAGCATTAAGGGCCCCCTTTTTTTGTATCCTATGGATTGTTCCTCTTCCTAGTTAGATATTTGCTTATACCCACAGGGGCTGGTCTTATAAATGGATGAATTAATGCTGTTCTAAAAGAGCTGAGCAGCACCTGCATGTCCTCCTGCAGCCCTATGCACCCCAGAGAACTGCAGCCCAGGCTCCCCAGCTGCTTTGCTTATAACTCTTTGCTGCATCTGGGTGCACCAGCATGTGAAATAAAACCAAACCAAAAGGAGGTTGTGGATGACTAGCCCTGTGACTCTACCACTTCTGGAAGTGGTTCCCAAGAAAACAGAGCGGAAGCTGTAAGGCAATGACGAGGCTTGGATTCTGAAGCCATCAGATCCTGCCTAACCTGCCTCTGAGCTGCCCTGGACAGCACCGCTCCACTTGGTGTACAGCCAACACCTGGAAAGGCTGGCACGGCTGTTTCCAGCTGTTGTGATTTTTTCTATGCTTATTTTGCAAACGTGGTGGACAGAAGCATGAAGAGCAAGGACAAATGTGTATTTTTACTATGCACTATATGGTCAAGCAAGCACTTGTTCGACTAGACTGTAAAGCAGTTTTTATCTACAGATTGATGATAGCCATTATTATTAATTTGACACTTTTGGTGTTGGCTACTGACTCAGAAGGCAGAAATCCCAACATACCAATGTAATAGCATTGCTCAATCTGAACTGGGAGCTTATCTATGTAGATGATAGGTTTCCTTGCAAGCAGTTGAGGGTATTTTCTGTGGGGAGTTACTGGTGCAGGCAGCAGCCAGGCACACGGGCTCACCCTGCGGAGCTGCAGAGCCAGGGGCTGCTCCGTGTAGGCCGGGAATAAGGACATGGGCTGGGACTAAGGACATGGGCTGGTCTGTGGCCACCCCCGGGTGCTGGGGCACCACTGTCTCCATCGCTCCGGCGGCAAATCCGGCCGGGTACAAAGGCCAGGCCGCGCGGACCCAAGCAGTCAGGCACGACACCCGCCAAAGGAGCCATGTGACCCGGGAATAGATTATTAGGCGCCAAGGGTGGAAGGCAGTTCTGGCTTTGTTTGGGAAACGTGCTGGCTGTGCCCTCTCGTGGAGGCCGGCGGCGTGCCCGCCTGCCGTGGAGGCGGCCCACTCGGGCAAGGGCCGCGAAACGGCTGGTGGAGGTGCTGCTCGCGCTGCTGCGCTCACCTATTCATCTGAGATTTCCCAGCTGGAGCAGAGCTATAACGTCAGCAGCTTTATTTTGAGCGGAAGGCTGCAGGTGGGAGAGCTTACTGTCACAGTCTAAAAGGCATTAAGTGTTTAAAGATATTTCCATTTTTGAGGGATTTTCCTCCTTTTCTGGATCGATTGCGCTTTCTCCTAACGCAGCAGCATCAATTCCACCTATTCTGCCCGCTACTTAATAGAGCTGCTCAGGCTGTTTTGTTACAGTCTACCTGACAGCAAGTGACAGGATCTGGACTATGACAGTCTGCAGTCCATTTCTGTGCATACAGAATTCAATCTGCAATCCCTTTCTGTGGATACACTGTCTTACCCTTAAGCCCTCTCTTAGCCCCAGCCTTTACACCACGATAAGAATCCATAAAAGCAAAGGGATGCAAGGTCCATGGGAAACGCGAGGCGACCTTGGGTCCTCGTGTCTACTTGAGCACTGCTCTGTAAGCTATTGCCATGGTGTGACTGGTGCCATTATGTCCAGGAAGGGAGGATATGCTCAGGCGGAGAGGGGTGTGCAGAGAGGCCAGAACAGGCCCTGCTGAACAGAGCAGTGTTTTGTGTGTGAGAAAAGATGCCCCCAGCACAGTCTGTGTGCATGGCTGTGCCCTGTGCTCCCGACACGGGTGAACAGCGCTGCCGGTGCCTGTCCCAAGCCGGGATTAGCAGCCTGGGCCTGCGCGCTTGCTGCGGGGGTCACCAGCGGTGCCGGGCGCTGTGGTGCCGGAGCGGGGCCGGGGCCGCCGAGGCTGTCTGCGCCTGGCGGCGCGCGCTGCTCGTTGCCAAGCAAACTGCCTAGCAACGTCGCTCGGCTGCCGCCTGGCTAATGCTGGCGCGAGAAGCCCGGATGGGCCGCGAGTGCTGGGGGCAGCCGGGGGGGATGGAGCCCTGCTGGAGCCGCCGGCTTTGCGCTGCGGGAACCAAACTGGGGCCTTATTGCTCTGCACTGCCACCGGGAGGGGGGCTGCAGGGAGCCTGGGCTTGATCCCTTCTCCAGAATAACTATGGATAGGACCATGGTCTCCAGCTGCACTGGGCAGGTTCAGGTCAGACGTTAGGAGGAATTCCTACATGGAGAGAATAGTTCAGCACTGGGGCAGGCTGCCCAGGGAAGCGGAGTCCCCGTCCCTGGCTGCGCTGAATAATTGTGAAGATGAGGTGCTGAGGGACATGGATGAGCAGGCCGGGTGGCGATGGGTTTACAATTGCACTCCATCTGGAAGGTCTTTTCCAACCATAATGAAGCTATGAAGGTGCGGGCTGGGGCAACGCTGTGCTGCACGTGGGCTGCCCCACGCAGCCTCTGCCCCCACTCCAAATAACTTTGTGTGGTGCCGCACAGGGCCCGTGCGGGAGCAGCAGCCGCCACGAAAGCCGTGGCCGCGAAGAGAGCAGGGCCCCAGCACCGAGCGCCCCGTGCGAGCCGCGCGCCCACGGGACACGCGAGGGCGGGGGGCCCTCTGCGCATGCGTCGCTGGCGGCTAGCTCGGCTATCGACTCATCGTCCTGCGCTCTCGGGGCTTTTCCCCGCTCTCTGCCATCCGTGCGCTCGGCGCTCGACTCCCCTCCGCCCGCGGAGCGAGGGGAGCAGCAAGATGGCGGACAAGGCGCCCGGCGGCTCGCAGAAGGCCGGCGGGAAGGTGAGGCCGCTCCGCGGGGCTGCCGGGGCCGCCCTCCCGCCGCCCAGGGCGGCCCGCT